AAAAAAAAAAAAATTATTTTACAGACAGAGTCTTGCTCTGTTGCCCAGGCTGATCTTGAACTCCTGGCTTCAAGCAATCCTCCTGCCTCAGCCTCCCGAGCTCGGCTTGGGGGTGGAGTTTCAGGAACTGAGGAGTAGGGAAGGGCCATAAGCCTGGAGGGGGTCTCAGCTCCAGCTGTCGCTCTTCTGACCTGGGGTGTGTGGGGAGTGGCTAAGAAAACAGTTCAAATCCCAGACAGTGGGCCTCTCTGCCTCAGTTTCCCTCTGTAGAACAGGGATGATGATGACACCCACTCCCCAGTGTAGTATGTGTGGGAATGAACCACATGACTGCTGTCTGGTGTGCCTGAGCATTTACTGCCATCTTCATTTCTTCTTCTTCTTTTTTTCTTTTTCTTTTTTTTTTTTTTTGAGATAGAGTCTCTCTCTGTCTCCCAGGCTGGAGTGCGATGGCACAATCCTGGCTCACTGCAACCTCCACCTCCTGGGTTCAAGCAATTCTTCTGCCTCAGCCTCCAGAGTATCTGCGATTACAGGCACCCGCCACCAAGCTTGGCTAATTTTTTTGTATTTTTGTAGAGATGGGGTTTCACCATGTTGGCCAAGCTGGTCTTGAACTCCTGGCCTCAACTGATCCTCCTGGTTTACGCCATTCTCCTGCCTCAGCCTCCCAAGTAGCTGGGACTACAGGCCCCCGCCACCTCGCCCGGCTAGTTTTTTGTATTTTTTAGTAGAGACGGGGTTTCACCGTGTTCGCCAGGATGGTCTCGATCTCCTGACCTCGTGATCCGCCCGTCTCGGCCTCCCAAAGTGCTGGGATTACAGGCTTGAGCCACTGTGCCCGGCCGGCCAGGCTGGTCTTAAACTCTTGACCTTTGGTGATCCGCCTGCCTCAGCCTCCCAAAGTGCTGGGATTACAGGCGGGAGCCACGGTGCTTGGCCGGGAAAGCCTTTCTATAAGGCTGATCATGTGTCAGGCACTGTTCTCTGAGTCTTACCACTATTAGTTTATTTACCCTTCACACTGACTATATGAAGGAGGTATTATTTTAATGCCTGTGTTGTAGATGAGGCCACGCACAGTGGCTCACGCCTGTGATCCCAGCACATTGGGAGGCCGAGGCAGGAGGATCACTTAAGCCCAGGGGTTTGAGACCAGCCTGGGCAACATAGCAAGACCCCCATCTATAAATATATTAAATAAATAAATAATAAATAAATAAATTAGCCAGGCATGGTGGTGCGTGCCTTTGGTCCCAGCTACTTGGGAGGCTGAGGTGGGACGGTCACTTGAGCCAGGGAGATTGAGGCTGCAGTGAGCCATGATCGTGTCACAGCCCTCCAGAATGGGCAACAGAGCCAGACCTTGTCTCCAAAAAAAAAAAAACACACACAAACAAACAAAAACAAAAAAAAACCACCACAACCCCAAAAACAGATGAGGAAACCGAGGCCCAAAGAGGGCGGCTCACTTGCCTGAGATCACATAGCAAGAAGTGGCAATGGGGGGATTTGAACTCCTGTGGCCCATCTCCAGGTTCTTAAGTGCTGCAGTCTGTTGCCATTATACCTGGTGTATGTGTGTGTGCGTGCGTCTTCACGTGTCCGAGTGTACATATGTTTGTGTACATACTGTATGTGGTATGTGTATCTTATTCGCATGTACATCTCTGACTAGAGGCCCCTGCTTGGGTTGGGCACTCTCTCTGGCCACATGGAAGCCTCCCCCAGCTGATTCTACACTGTCCTAGGGTCCCCCAGCATCCTGCCCTTACCTGGATGGTGACATTGGCTGAGTTTGTCTTGAAGTCTCTGTCCAGGTCCTGGACTTTGTTGAAGAATTGGGAAAGCGTCTGCAGAGAGAGGAGATGTGGGGGTCAGAGAGCCTGGACGGTGGGTGGGAAGCTTAGGACAAGGAGACAGATGCGGTGCTGTGTGGATGGAGTTCCTGCCACCTCGTCCCTGCGGGGGCCACTCACCTGGCTGTGGACTCCAGGGGGCAGGGTCCAGGTGGGGAAATTCATCTCTGCAGGGAACAAGACAAGCGGCTCATTAGGCGGGAGAGTGTCTGTGTGTGTTGGGGGTTGGGGAGCTTCTAGGGTCAGGTCGTACCTTTACAGACAGTGTCCTTTTGGTTATTCGGGATTCCGTGTTTGGGCTCCCAGCCTGGGCGGCAGCGGCAGGTATACGAACCCACGGTGTTGAAGCAGACGGTGGAATTGTCACACTGATGCAGACCGGAGCTGCACTCGTCCACATCTGAGGACAGAAAGAAGGGAGTCAGGCCCTGTCCGAGCCCAGAGAAGGTCCTGTCTCCTGTCTGTGCCCCCAGCTCGTTCTTCCTGGCATTAGTGCCCCCCTTGGAGTGGCGGACGCTGGGTTATGGAAGCGTGGAGAGGCCTGGGCACAGCAGGTGTGCCCCGTGCAGATGTGCAGGTTACGAATATGGTGAAACGTCTTCCTCCCAGTGAGTCATCAGCTGTTGCCTGGGGTCCCCCTGAGCCTCCCCCCTCAGTACCCCAGCTCCTTCCCGGGGAGCCCTGCTCTTTTCTCATCTAGCCTCAGAAGAACGAGCGCCTGGCACAGCTGGGCGCCTCCAGCGTTCGTTCCGCTTGGTTCATGGGGTGCCGTTGAACATGTGGTTAGATGTTTGTGGGTCTCTGGGAACGTGGGATCTGAGCTCTCGACCTTCACAGACGGTATTGTTTGGGCCATTGGGGGACCCTGGAATCGGTTGCCAGCCCGGGCGGCAGCGGCACTGATAGCCGCCCACGTTGTTGAGGCAGTGGGTGGAGCTGTGGCATGGGTTTTGTCCGGAGGTGCATTCATTCACATCTGAGGACAAAGCCAGAGGGTCAAACCCTGTCCCTGACCAGCCCAGGCCTGCCCTCCACTCACTGCACCCACTTCCCTGTCTTTTCATTGCCCCAGACTGAAGACCATTATTGCACGTGTCGCCACCTGGTGACCTTCAGCTTCACCTTCAAAGCATCTTATGATGGTCTTCCTACCAGAAGAGCACAGCAGGGACCATGGTCCCCAGTTTATAGGAGGTGAAAGCAAAAGGGAAACTGAGTCATGGGAGCCGGACTTCCATGACTAAAAACTAAAAGCTCTCATCTGCTCCCTCCCTGGTCATAGTGGAGGTTCCCCTTCTCAGAACTGGAAGTGACACCTTCTTCCACTCACACGTGACAGACGAGGAAGGGGTGAGGTCTGGGGGCCCACAAGGGCACTCCAAGCCCCAGAGGCCCTGCCGCCTCCCTGCTGTGGCGGGACCTTCCTGGGAGGTGAATCCTTAGGCAGGGGCTTAGCAGGTCCTTGACCTTGTGGGAACCTGCGGATCTTCTCCCTCCTCCTCGGCTGCTTTGCGGGACCTGCCTCGGCTCCATCCCCAGCTCCCGTCCAGCCTCACAGCGTCTTCCCAGGGCCTCTACCTGTGCAGAGCTTCGGGTCCTCAGGTTTGAACTTGAAGCCAGGCAGACACTGGCAGGTGAAGCTGCCGGGGGTGTTGACACAGGTGCCGTAGCTTTTACAGAGCCTTGGGTTCTGCTGACATTCGTCCACGTCTGCAAGAGGAAGGAGAGGGTGAAGGATGCCCGTAGCTGTGAGCAGCTTTTGGGGCTGAGGGTCCGCCACGTTTCCCGGCATGGAAGCATCTGGAAGGCACCACTGTCTCCTCCCTTTTCCAATCCACACAGAGGCATCCTATGGTGAGGGTGGTGGCCCAGGCCCTCTGTTGTCCAGATGTGGCCGGAAGCAGCCAAGTCCTCCCTTCTGCTCTGCCTTTCTGGGCAGCTCCAAGCTGGTGTGTCCCAGCCATCTGTGTCCCAGCCTGAGGATTCCGGGCAAAGGCCAGGGTGGGGCCTTCCTGAGAACCAAATGCAAGGGACATGCTGTGCGCCTGGGCAGGACGTGTCTTGGCTCTCAATGGTGGCCCTGGGCCTGACTCCCCCAGGATGGCAGCTCGCTGGCCAAATTCTCAGAATCCTGGTGGCCCTGGCAGGATGGCGTTGTCCCATCCACACTAGCTCTGAGAGCCCAGCTTCATGGGCATGGGCCAAGACCCCTCCCTGAGCCACGGCCCCCGTGATGCAGTGCAATGGCAGGGGTGGGGTGAGTGAGCGATGGTGCGGGACAGGCTAGGGCTGCCTGGACAGTGGGCACCAGGCTGGGGTGGACAGTGGGGGCTGATGTCCAGCCAAGCAGCCCCGAGTCTACAAAGATGCTTTTTTCTGACCCCCAGGAAGGGATCTACGGGTATGGAAATAGCAGGATGTGGTGAGAATCCATATCTGAGCAGAGCTGGCCGTGAGCGGGGGCTTGTGGCTGGAGAGGGCACCGGTGCCGATGGGTGAGGGGTGGCAGATGTATCTGTCCTCTCATCCCTTGTCATTCCACCAGGGATGGAGACCTGTGGGCCCTGCGGAATGGGGTTCAAGCTTCCATCTCTGTCCCCAAGTAGTCCAGACCAGGACTGGGCTCGGAAGAGGATCAGGCCTGGGGCGATGGTCCCCAGTGACACTCTCTCTTGCCATCTAGTCCAGGCTGGAGCCGCTTCCTTCATCCAATCCTCCGAGTACTTTTTTTTTTTTTTTTGAGGCAGCGTCTCTCTCTGTCGCCCAGGCTGGAGTGCAGTGATGTGATCTCAGCTCACTGCAACCTCCGCCTCACGGGTTCGAGCAATTCCCCTGCCTCCGCCTCCCGAGTAGCTGGGATTACAAGTGCGCACCACTACGCCCAGCTAATTTTTCTATTTTTAGTAGAGACAGGGTTGCACCATGTTGGTCAGGCTGCTCTCGAACTCCTAATCTCAAGTGATCCTTCCACCTTAGCCTCCCAAAGTGCGGGGATTCCAGGCATGAGTCACGGCGCCCGGCCCTCTGAATCCATTTGTGGGGTTCATGTCACCCTGCCCACCCCGGGCCACAGCATCCTCCCAAGCTTGGGTCATTGGAGATGTGTTTAGGCCCAGGAATTATCAGAGTGGGTGAGGGTGGAACCTTGAATGGGGAAATGGATGAGGGCCTAAATGGCCAGGAAGACGGTCAGGAGGCATCTTCTCCAAGCAAGGTTGTTGGCTGAGATTCCCTCCTCCTGAGATTCTGGACAGGGTTTTGGGGTTCATTATGGTAGGAGTGGGTGTCAGAGGGGTTCCAGGTGTGGCTGAGCTCATGTGAGCCCCAGTGGCAGCAAGTCTCATCCTGGCAGTCCCCGGCGATGGCGGAAAGGAAGGATACTGTACTGGAATGCGCCACCCCACGCCATGTCATGAGCCCATGAAATATCCTGAGTGCCAGCCCCCTTTTGTTTTATGCAAATAAGATGCCAGATGGGCAGGGGGATGTTCCAAGCTTCCGATGTGGCCCCCTGTGGAGGCTCCTGAGTCTCAGGATTGGGACAAAGATGGGTGATCAGGTGTCTAGGATGGCCCTGAGACACCTGGAGACAATGGGGTGAGGAGTGGAGGGAGCCACCCCAGGTCTCTGGCCCAGATGTCAGAGGTCCCATGGGCTGTGACATTGGGTGCACGTGTCCTCAGGTGCAATAGTGAAGCCTGGAGTGCTGAGGTTAAAGGGAGGGGCCCAGGCCCCTCTGAGCTTCTCACCTCTGGTGATAGGTCCTGCTCCAAACCAGCAGGCTGCTGTCTCCATCACCTGCCTTGATGTCCGTGGAGGTCCCTCTATCACCTCAGCCCTGCTGTCCACGTCTGTGCCCAGCTGCCTGACTGAGTCACCTTCTCTCAGCCCAGGCCTGTTTCTAACACAGCAGCACACCTCCTCCATAACCACAACCACCATCCCATGCAGGGGGCTCATAGCAGCGGGTGGGCAGCACCCCTAGCCGGGGCACCCTGGGAGGAAACCATGATCGCCAAGTACAGTTGTGCAGGTTGCTCACTGCACAAAAATATTGGGCCAGTGAGATGAGCAGGGGCTGAAAACCAGTCCACTCTTTGTTTGTCAAATGTGTCCACTGGGAGAGGGGGATCTTTTTCCAATTCATAGGAAGACTCTGTCCTCTGGCCAAGTCACATGTATGTGGCGCAACACCAAGTGCACTTGCAAGGGCCCCTGGGGACTAGCAGTGTGGTGGACAGAAGTCTCCTGCTGGGCTCCATGCAGGTTCATGTCCCAGGTACATGCATCTCTGTCTTGTCCCCCACCTTACCTCCCTCTTCGTCCCTCTGCACTCTGCCTGAATGCAGAGCAGGAGAGGTGGAGCTGGGATCTGGGCTGCGGGCCCTTTCTTCTCTCTGCAGTCTGAGTCTCATCACCTCCCACCTCCACGCTACTCCTCTTCCTGATCTTGGTACCCTGCACTAACTCCCTCTCTTTGAATGAGTCGCTCTCAGCTGCCCACTGCTGGCTCCCATCTGCCCCTGTGGATCCTGGAAGCCCCTCCCTGCCCAAACAGCTTCCCTGAAAAAGAGGCAAAGCCTGGAGTTCCAGTTTCTCCTGGCCTGAGCTATGGCCTCAAGCAAGACCATAGCAAAAGCTGTGGCCTCTGTGCAGGGTTAGAGCCTTGCAGCTGCTCTCTGATCTCGCACGCTACAGTACCCATCCTGGGGGTGCATCAGATCAGAATTACGATAAAATCCCCAATAGCCGTTGCTGATAGAGCACATTCTGCAAGCCAGGAGCTTTTAAGTGCTTTTTTTTTTTTTTTCCCTTTTCAGACGGAGTCTCACTCTGTTGCCCAGGCTGGAGTACAGTGGCAAAATATCAGCTCACTGCAACCTCCGCTCCTGGGTTCACGCCATTCTCTTGACTCAGCCTCCCGAGTAGCTGGGACTACAGGCGCCCGCTACCACGCCCGGCTAATGTTTTGTATTTTTATTTATTTATTTATTTATTTTATTTTATTTTATTTTTTTTGAGACGGAGTCTTGCTCTGTGGCCCAGGCTGGAGTGCAGTGGCTGGATCTCAGCTCACTGCAAGCTCCGCCTCCCGGGTTCACGCCATTCTCCTGCCTCAGCCTCCCGAGTAGCTGGGACTACAGGCGCCCATCACCTCGCCCGGCTAGTTTTTTGTATTTTTTAGTAGAGATGGGGTTTCACCATGTTAGCCAGGATGGTCTCGATCTCCTGACCTTGTGATCCACCCATCTTGGCCTCCCAAAGTGCTGGGATTACAGGCTTGAGCCACCACGCCCGGCCTTGTATTTTTAGTAGAAACGGCGTTTCACGGTGTTAGCCAGGATGGTCTGCCTCGGCCTCCCAAAGTGCTGGGATTACAGGCTTGAGCCACCATGCCCAGTCTTCTTTTTTTTTGAAATGGAGTTTCGCTCTGTCACCTAAGCTGGAGTGCAGTGCTGTGACCTCCGCTCACTGCAACCTCTGCTTCTCAGGATCAAGCGACTCTCATGCCTTAGCCTCCTGAGTAGCTGGGACTACAGGCGCAGGCCACTATGCCTGGCTAATTAATTTTTTTTTTTTTTTTGGTATTTTTTGTAGAGATAGGATTTCACCTGCTTGCCCATGCTGGTCTGGAACCCCTGGGCTCAAACAATCTACCTGCCTTGGTCTCCCCTTTTATAGGGATGGGATCTTGTTATGTTGCTATGGGCTGGTCTTGAACTCCTGGCCTCAAGAGATCCTTCCGCCTCAGCCTCCCAAAGCACTGGAATTACAAGCATGATAATGTTATCACATCTCACATGTGGACAGAAGTTTCTGAATAAGTATCCTGGCCAATGTCATACACTTGGTTTTCAGGATTTGTCCCAGGCAGCTGGTCCCAGAGTCAGCCCTTAATCCTCACATCGCTCTGCCTCTCTGGGGTGGTGGGGTAGGTACATGCACACCTGTCCCATCTCACTGACCCTATAACCAAGGCCCTGCTCTCTAGATGCTGCCAGAATGGCTGTGGTGACCCCAAATCTCACGGATGGAGAGTCAGAGGACGTGGGGTGGTTCTTACCTTGACACATGTTCTCGCTCTCATTCTTGAATGATTTTGCCCCAGAAACAAGCTCATACCCCGGGTTGCACACGCAGTCGTAGCTCCCCTTTGTGTTCCTGCAGTACGAGGATTTTCCGCAAGACACTTTTGATGGTGGCACACACTCATTGATGTCTGGAACACAACAGGACAGGGAGTCACCTCCCAAAGATGTGAGTTCCATCAGGGCAGAGACCCCCGTCCTGATTCCCCAACATGGGGCCTGCTGCTTAGTATCTTTTGGAAAGAATCCTAAGTTGCACTGCACAGGCTGTGCTGCAGCTGGAGCAAGCCATTCCTGAAGACCACACTTGATCTCAGTTCTCTGGC